TCCTTTCCCAGGGTTTAATAATTTCTTTTTAAATTAAATATTATTTTTTAAATTTCAATTTAATATCAAAACGTAATTTAAATTACCCTCATCACTGCTTTCAACATTTTGGGCCGCACTTTTTGACATCGTCAATAAAAAGTCGTCTTAGGTCACTTTCAAAATTAGGATTTTCAGTATTTATATTATTTTGAAAATGTACGTGATATAAAATTTTCAAATGTATGTAAGTATATTTCAATACCGATTCATTTTTTTGACAGTTCAGCATAAATTATAAATGTCACAAGTGCCAACTTGATAAAAGATGAAAATGGACTTAAGCCACTTTCAAAATAAATGGCTCATTTGTTCTGTTATTTATTACATTTAATAATTCTTGTAGTTGACTCTAAGAAGATCATCAATCTGATATTCTTGTAACGTCATTTATTGGTTTGTGTATAAAGTTTCTAATTTGCCTTCTTTTTATCTCGATGATCCTAAATCTGCTACCTTTTTGGTACTTATCGACTACAAAATAGATACTGTCTCCTTTTATGATACAAAAGATCATTGTTTTTGAATTTGTCTTCTTATTTCATATGGAATAACATCAATAAAATTGTTGATTAGATGCAATGATATTTTATAATTTTCACTAATCATTAATTTGAATGTATTGATTTTCTCTAAGTAGATTTCTTTAAGCTCTTAGTTGTTATATTACTTTGGATGCAGCGTATGCGGTCATCAGTGGTAATGGTTGAAGTTCGGAGGCGGAAGAGATGTTGACGATGGCGCCTTGACCTCTGATCCTCATCTCTTCGACGAAGGTGCGCGTCAACAGCGTGACGGCGCCCACGTTGACGTTGATGATGCTCCACAGCTGATCCTCCGGCACCTCTCCGACGTACATCGGGTAGGCGTACTGCGATCCGACATTGTTTACTGTCGACAGAAGAAGAAGTGAAAGTGTTAGTGAACTTGTTTCGAGATTCAAAGTTACGGCAATCGGAGCATGTAGTTTACTAAGACTATCCGTAAACTACATGCACGAAACGTATTCAGGCCAAAACGTTTTACGTAACCGATCGCAGCCGCAAAAGTTTTTACCTTTTCCTCGTTTCTTAAAACCAGAAACAGTTGAAATGGAACTGCTCCAGGTTATCCCATAAACTATACACTTTTTCATAGCAAATCAATCAAGTTGCACAACTAAATAGTTAAAGCAAACTTTAGGAGTGCCGTAAAAGGAAAGCTAAAACGTAAATCAAGGCCTTTTATATAATAAGATTTCAAAAAAAAAATTATAGTTCTATAGAATTGTTATAAATATATTGAATATCTGAATTTATCTTAAGTATTTATGGAATAAATAATTGTTTTAGATAAGTATCATAATTAGAAATTTTTATCTAGTGCAGGGGTAAATTACCCCACTAGGGAGCAAAAAAATATTGTTGGGACTTTATCAATTAATTGATCTGATACCAAAATAACTCAATATTTATATAATTTGATCAAAAAAATATATTTTGGGTTAATACGTCTAGTCTAGTGGATTAAGTTAAGTAATATATAAAATAATACATAAATCAATCAAGAGTAAAAACTATTAATGGTTGTCATTTAGTTCAATGACATTGAAATCGGCAGTGATAACATACAAACATAATAGTTGGTACTTCTGACAGATATTCAAGTGTCATATTGGATCTATATCGCAAGCCCGACAACCGAAAGACCGTCTATTGAAATCCCGACTATATCAAAATCCCGACTATATGGAAATCCCGACTCCCATAATCCCGACAATCAAAATCCCGACTATATCGAAATCCCGACTACTATAAAAATGTTATTGTTGAAATTTATAATAATAAACACTGTCGGGATTTCGATATAGTCGGGATTTTGATTGTTGGGATTATGGTAGTCGGGATTTTGACATAGTCGGGATTTCGATATAGTCGGGATTTCGGTTGTCGGGCTTGCAATTGCCATCGGACATATTATACACTGTGTAGATATAATCTACTATTTTCATACAAATTTTTACCTAATTCACACAAATATCATAATAATAATTGAAGCATTATAGTTAATGAATAGATACAATATTTAATAAGCATATGATTAAAGCGTATCCAAAACAGCTATAAATCTAAATCCTGTTTCTCGTACAACGACCGACCCGAAAGATTACGCAATTTATTGCGAATGCTGCGCGATGTTACAAGAAAATTATGCAAATTATGGTCGTTGCCTCCTGCCGGTCGCCTGATTCAGAGGCCTTCTTTGTTTCGTTCATTTAATCGGTTCATTAGAGTGAGGAAATTCGTTTCACAAATCCGGTATAAATCAATAATTATCTTAAACTAGATTGCATGCAATTAAATGTACGTTCCTTCTAATGCATATGGTAATATGTACATGATACAATTAAAATCTTTAAATCTGTAGAAGTTAGTGTGAATAAATATTATTTTGTTAGAAACGAATTAAAAAATAAATCAATTTTAATTATGATTATTTTTTGTGATATTTTATGATATTTTCTTGATTTGATTTCTTGATAGTTATTTTTTCGGACCATAAGACGCATCCGATAAGATTCAATCAAATTTTAAGTCATATAAAAAGATGCGTCTTATGATCCGAAAAATATACTAGTTTTTTTTAATAAATATTTTTTTCATTTATAAATAAATAATAAAAATAAACTTACCTAAAATGCTAACTGGAATTTTTCCAATTTCCTTTTTGACAATATCGATGGCTTCTTGTCCTTTGGAAAAGTCTGCTACGATAATTTTAGTTTTAACTCCGAATTCCGACTCTAATAAAAACAAAAATATAATTATCTACATTAATTTTAGTCATTCATACTATTATGCAATTGAATATGACTATTATTGATAATTAATGCATATATTAAGAAGATTCAAATATCATGTGTTATATTATATGATCCACATTACATAATTTCTTTTGTTTATAGTTAACTATAGTTAAAACATTTCGAAATGACAGCTGTCACTATGAGTCATAAGAATTGAAGAAGGCTAATTTATAGTTTTTAAAAAATTGTAAAAATGACAGCTTAAAACATTCCAAAATGACAGCTGACAGGAACGCTGATTCAAAGTTTAAAAAACAGTGCAAAAATGACAACTTAAAACATTGCAAAATGACAGCTGTCACCATGAGTCATAAGAATTGAAGAAAGCTGATTTATAGTTTTTAAAACATTGTAAAAATGACAACATAAAACAATGCAAAATGACAAACGGTTTTACTACCATTTTTCTTCTGTTGAGATTATGATTTTATTTTGACATTTATTTAGTATTATTATGCAATTTTGTCTTGATGATTTTTTGAAAACATTGGCTAAAATCATATGTTTAAATAATACAGATCAAGGCAGAAAAAAATCGTTAAGATAAAATGTTTCTATTTTTATACTAATATTAAATATAATAGCAGAGCTGCAATTATGAAACAGTTAAATACTCATACTACTTTTATGATACGTATTTTAAACTCAAAAGTTTTGATTTGTCTTTGAACAACTATTGTAGCTGTCAGTGCATTTTAATCAAATGTTATTTTATGACAACTAAAATATGACAGCTGTCATATTTGTATGTCTCATTTCTGGTCACACTATATCTGTATAATGCACCATTACTATTAATTCTACCTCGCATTGTCCGTCTTCGATCAGTCAGGATTCACTATAGTACGATTTGAAAATTTCAAAACAAACTAAATATTAAATTAAATCACTTTTTGCGCAGTTTATCAATTAGTCTAATTTCAAATAATCCGGGATATTAGCCAATCCGATATTCCGCACTATGTGAGAACAGAACAAATAATATCCAATATGTATGTGTGTTTCTTTTCTAATTTAGTTACGTAAATAATTCAAAAGCATTATTATTTGTAGTTGTGATGAAATAAAAAAAATTATATTCTCATAATATTCGGAGATTACTCAATTCTTACCAATTTCTTTTGCTGTGGCGTTTAGCTTCTCCAACGTTCGGCTGACCAAAACGATGCTGTGACCCCTCTTTGCCAATTCTTTGGCATATTCTTTACCAATCCCATCTGTGCACCCGGTGACAACTGTAACAGAAATAGAGAAACGAAATCAGACGGCGTTGCGTAACGCTTAAACTACCGAGAAGATTCGCCTGTATATTTTTTTTCGGCAGATTTCTTTTGTTTGCAGCGAGATCTTTGGAACGGTTTCGTAAGTGATCTTCCGCGAGAAAGTCGCGGCGACACCAGAGAAATCTACAATTATCGCTATAATAATATAATGTACCATTTTTTGTCTGTTTTTCTTCAGATTGATACAAAGAGAGAAATTCGTAATTATTCTTTGTTGTGTTGTGAAGAACAAAAGCTGTTTTCCGATGCAATTGAATTTCCAAGACGTTGTTTTCATTAGCGACGTTGTTGTTTTTTTTTGCAAGTTATGCAACGCGTAGTGTTATATAAAATACGGTTTCGAGTGACGGGATTTTAATGAGCATTCAGCATTCAATGACAATAACCTGAGCGTTTGTGCAATTCGAACTGCTGCTGCTTGCAATTTTAGAATTACCCAAGTGAGATTTAAAATAAATCAACTCTAATTCAAAAGTTAAACTATTTCTCTTTAGTTTTGTCTTAGCAAAAGTAAATTTTAATAAATTGGAATTATTAAGTAATTATGTATATGAACGTTATAAATATTGATTAAGTTCGACGTGTAATTTATTAGAATGGTTCAGAATTAGTAATTTTATACTAATTGGCACAACATATGTATATTTGTGAAAATAAAAATTATATTGATAAATTATTCATAAAATTAGAAACTGCAAGTGAAAATGACAACAAAATAATATGATTTTTAAAGAATCACAATTATATTTTAATTTATCTCGTTTTAAATGAAAAAAAAAAACAACTATTGTTGTTTGAAGTAATTATTAATATTAATTATTTTCTCATAATTAGTCCAACTTAGTTTAGGTATAAGAATAAAAATAATATAATAAATGGGATAATTTAAGTATACATGAAAATATTAATCACAAATTTTATGTTTTCATTTCTGATTGGTCGAAATGAGCAATAAAACACAGTTTTTATACACGATTTTACTAATTTGTTATAATTAAAAAAAATATTTTTCTTTTGAGAAATTAACAATGTTGACATGTGATTGAAATTATTCGAAAAGATATATTTTTTTATCGTAATTTTCAAATTTATTTGGTAACAGTTTTTCAATTAAAAACATATTTTGAGCAATTAGGAACGTTGATTGGTGAAAAAGTTATTGAGAAGAACATTGCTTCATATAATAATAGATATAAGTAACATTTGAGTGTAATAACTCTCTTTAAAATTATGTGTATTTTTATGTAGTTGATTCATAAATCGTCGATGTCCTAGCAGATAAGCATGAGAGAAAACGATGGAGTGAAAGGTCACGATAATGTAGTAACACCATACTAAAATTGCAAACACGAGAGAATGTTAGACCGAAAAGTTCGTTAAACCGAAAAGTACCTTTGTTTGAATGTTTTGGTAAAAAAAGTTTGAAGAAAATCTAATTTTAATAAGATTGTTCAACTTGAAAAGAAAAATTCTTCTAAAGCTATTAAATATTAAGAAAAATTGTATACATAATGAAATAAATATGAATATAATTGGTTTCAGACAATCTTAGATTAGTAATAAAGTTCTTTAAATTGAAAAGTAAACATAAAATATGTTTGAATGAGAGTTTCTGACATGTTATCGTCATTAACTGAACATTTTGAAATAGTTTAATATATTTATTGGATATTTCAATTTATCAAAAGATGTTAGTTTTTAAAAAATTTTAGATAATTAAACTTAGTTTTAATGATTTTTTTTTTAAACTGAACAGTAAAAATTTGTAGAATACTGAAGAAAAGTTCCAGCGATTGGAACTTTTGGAAAACTGATGAAATAACTGAAAAAGTAAATTTATGATGATTTAATATGAAAATATTAGATAATTTAGAATTAAATTAGTATAAATTAGGATTAAAGTTAAAAAAAATATATTTCGTAATGGTTTGAAAAGTTAAGAAACATTTGAGAAATGATGATGATTTGATCATTGTCAAATTTTAGACAATCTTAGTTCATTAGACTAGTTTTAATGATTTAGATTGTTTTAATGAAATTTATGAAATGCTACGGTTTTGAAAAAAATTGATTTCATAGCTTAAATTAACGTAAAAAACGGATATTCTGAAATAATTGAGAAATGTAGAAATAATTAAGAGTTAAATTACTAATTATAATCAACTGTAATTTATCATTTAAATAATTTAATATTCATAGCAATATTAAAGTATATTATCTTAATTTGTGTACAAATATGTTTGGTCTCATATTCTTCAATATACACAAATATTGAAGGAATATAAGGTTCTCTAGCAATATACACTGTTCTACTAGATTGGCTTTCTAGGATTATATTTTACCAATTTTCATTTAATCATAAATCGATATTAGATGTGATTTAGATCAAGCATAAAAATATCATTTTTTTTTTGTCTAGTGAAAATCCTCGTATATTTGTACTCACGAGCCCAAAGACCGAACTTCTTCACCGACGATTCCTCCTCATTGGCCAATAAATACGGAGCTAAAATCGATCTCGTCATCTGCAGTAAATTCCATATAGTCTCGAACAGGAAAAATAACACTGCGAACGCCCCCAAAGCTGCCAAACACCAGGTGTACGTGTTGCAATCCATTCTGAAAAATAACTTAATCATTAATATCAAACTGAAATTATTTGCGCAAACAGTGCACTTTACAATTTATAAAACAAATAATAATAATGATGAAAACATACTTTGCGTGTTTGCATTTAATTGGATATAATCATATGTTTAATTGAACGACAATTGCTTCAGCGACCTTTCGATATTTCTTGCGTTTCTATGCACGTGTTTTTCAGGCCAAGTACGTTCTGCGCAACGAGTCGATTCGAAGGGCTCTCATGCAAGCAAGAAACAACTATTGCAGATTTATGTCTTCGTCTTATTTCAACTTTCCAAAGCAACAAAACGTTCAGTTTACATAGAGATTTAGTTACTTAGATTTCAAAATTTGTTTTACTTATACCAATAATTATAGTGAATCCGAACTGTTCAAAGCCGCACTATGCGAGGTATTACTGTTTTTTCAAATAATACAGTTAAAATATGTATAACAAGTTAATATAATTTGTAAATAAAAATGGAAATAAACTAATCTTACAAATTTCGTAAAGTTTTATATCTTTGCACAAGCTTTCAAAGCAAATTCCGGTAGTCGCATTAATAATGTGTGTGCATTTGCAAATAGACTCTTGCTTTGTACTAATATTTGCTCAGATTCGTATACGTCTGGTAAACGTTTCGTAAATTATCGAAACAATCCTACACAATTTGCGTATGTAGGTTAACAAAATCCTTCAAACAAAACTATTTTTTCGGTAAGCAGTTTCACAATGCATTCGTAAAACGATGATGATGCCATTAAGAAGAATTTCTATGACCTTTTTCGATATAGCAGCGAGTATCGAACGAAAGTTATATTATATATCCTGATTATTTTGTACGTCTGGAAAAAGAGAAAACCGAAGATTTGTCTTCAAAATCTAAATTAGGACAACTAAATAATTTTAACTATGTTCTTAAAGTCCTTAATTACGGATGCAATTAAAACGGTTTGCATTGTTAGTCGATGCTATTGAACGAAACGAAAGTGGGAATTCACGTTTTTGCTCACACCCCAATTCTGATGAGGGGAAAAGGAAACAAAAAAATTTTCAACTTGCTTTCTACAATCTCAGCGTATTACTTTCAGAACATTATAATATCAGCCTTGAAACAGAACTGGATAAGTTTTTTTTGGGTTCTTGCATAATGATTTGGAACTAATTCTTCGGGCTGGAGCAATTATTTTATTTTAAATGAGTAATGTTACGACACGTTCATTGCAGTGAAACGTGAATTAGCGAAATCGTTAAAATTTCAGTAATTTTAAATACACTTTTGTCATCAGTATAGATTATTTTTTGTCATATTTTTTCAATTAATATAAAATTGCAATTGCAAGAATTCAATGTTCTTCAAAGTTTGGACATTTTCTTTTTATAATTTTTCCATTAATATAAAATATTGAAAACAAAGTGGAACTCCAATAGTCGCCTTCTTTAATATTCGTCTTGTTATTTTGTTAAAATTCTTGTTTGATATTCGTGAAAATTCAATATTCGTCCCACCTCCCACCTGACTTGGCCGGTGAGCCAACTGATCGTCTTTTGACCGGCTCAATCTCGAAGTGTGTGTTAAGTATTATAGGAAAAATTTGTTCGATATTCGTCTTTTTTTTTCAATATTTGTCCCCTCCTCAGAAACGTATTAATGACGAATATTGGAGTTCCACTGCATATTACAATATATATAACTATGTTGTATATACATGGCGAGAATATGTGATTTTGTGGTAAACATACAATTCGTTAATCGAGGTATGACTGTATAAATAATTTAAAATGTTGAGTAAACATTGGAGCTAATACAAATTTGTAAATAAATAAAATTTGAATTGTATTTTTTATTAAAAAAAACTTAACCTCTTAAATTTTAGGCAGTTGGAATTAATTCATTAAATAATATGTAGTGTATACGCAGCTTTACACCTTATATTACTCAAAATTTGATTATTAGATATTTTTTGTATATTTTATTTATTTATCTCTTTAGCTGTAAATACATACATTTTTAATGTATTATAAAATTAAGAATTTTTTTCATTTAATTTGTGTTTTAATAATGCTAATATTAAACATACACAAAACTTCAATGAAGTATATTTTAAATAGTTTAACCTTTGTATTGTTGATATTAGAATAAGTTGGGTTAGATATTATGTACATCTGTAATGCAAAATTAACCTAAAAAACTAACTAAATATAAAATACAGAAATCTTATATAATCTAACCTAAAAACATATAAAATAAAAGAATATTACAAAAAGAACATGCTTGATTTTTCACTCCAGATTGAAAAAAATTATTAGCCTGAATATATTTATAAACCAATCCCACACAGTATTCGCTAATAACATTGCGTAACTTCAATGCGTAAAATTTAATATTAAAAAATGCACGTGGCACACATTATAAACTTGTACTATTCAAATTAAATCGATACTTATTTTCCAACGGATACATGTTTATTGCGTAATTCGATATTTGCAGATGCGATGTTAGTTTATGTAATATTATCAGAAGTAAATGTATATGAAATATCACTTGTAATTGGTAATTTCGGCTTGAAAGTTACAAATTTCTTGTAGGAGAAAAAGAAAATACTTGGATTTGCGTGATAATTGATAGAAACTGGGTCTGCACTCATTATTATACGTAATTAGTTGGCAAAATATGTTGCGTAACGCTTTTGCGTATAGTTTAATTTTAAAAATGCATATGACATATTTATATTAATTTTTATTATTAATATTTATATAATTTTCATCTTGTTTTGAATGGAAACTTTATTGAAAATGTATGTATTTTAATTGAATTTGGATTTTTATTTTAAGTTCAACTAGTTTAGGTTAATTTCATTGCATTACATATTGTAAAAGTATGATAAGTTTGCATAACAAAATATTTATGTTACTTAATGTCAATCTAAAATATATAATTTTAGGTTAGATTAGGTTTTAATTATTTAATCCATAGTTAAGTATTGTTAAATTAATGCTATAACAAGTTATATCATTTTAGATTAGGTTAGGTTTTACCCTTTGTGGATTATCGGCGGATATATCCGTCCAAATTTTATAGAACCGCAGTCATTAAATCTTAGTTCTTCTTAGCCTCTGCATCTGTTTTTTTCAGACGGAGCCGTAATGATTTTTCTTTAAGCTTTGACGTTAGACCTGTAAAGGTTTTGTAATTGTAAAACCCATGTTCAATTATATAAGGTTTGCTTAGGTTATATTTGGATAGCTTTGTTAATTAACGTAATTTTGTTCAAGTTGGATTAAGTTAGGTTAGGTACCATGGATTAGTATATTGTCATAGGTTGAGTATTGCAATATACATGATACCTAACCTTACTTAATCTAATGTTTAGGTTAGATTAAGTTAGGTTAATTTCCGTATATTGCAACTTAAATGATATCTAACCTAATTTAATATTATCATAGTTACGTTTAATTTGGTTAGGTCTGAAACATTTGTTCAATAGTTTTGTAATAATATTTAACCAATGATTGTAGATTGAATTCAGAATAGTTTTAATAAATTTGCAAAGCTTCTGAAGTATTATGTAATAATTGGTTAACTTAAAAAAATGTATACCACATGAAAATGTCTTAAGATTAAAAAAATGTACTAAGATAGAAATAATGCAATAGGTTTTTAGTATGCATATAAGCAATTGCTTAACAATGTTAATGAATATCTTGATTTAAGGAAGCGTGTCTGTGGGAATTCAATTAAATGAAGACGATTGCATCTTAATGATGATGATGTTGCAATGCTTCTACCATAAGCGGCGCATTGCAGTTTCTCGCGAAGTGCTTGCATTTTTTATTCACACAATTAACAAATCAATAAGATTCGATGTGAGCAGGAATTACGCGACACCAGGTAATTTCTAATTTATGAACAGAAATCAAAAGTAAAAGTGCAATTTAATGAGGAATTAAACATTATTTTTCACTGATAGTTTTCACATATATTTGACATTTAAGGAATGAAATACGTCAAGTAGATTTGATTACAAATATACGGAAATTTAAGAAAAATCCGAGGAGAAAGCTCTCAATGAAATTGGTAATATGGTAAAAGACTTGTTCAGGATTTTAACCTTTTATACCGGCATCGAAAAGGTGTAACGTCAGTGTGTTGCTTAATGCATAATGAATGAACCTGGTGTAATGTGTAATTTTCGATTGCATCAGGTCTTGAACTATTCAAATGATTTGTTTAGAAAACGTTAAATTGAAAGTTGAACGTTTTATAATGTTCTTTAATTATTGCAACGTTTGCAATAAATACAATTTTAATTAGTACAATTACAACAAAACTAAGTATTTGAATTTGTTAAGAAGATTTCTGTTTATTAACTATGACGTGTGTTTTATGAGAGTTATTTGTACTTTGAACTTTCAAACATCAACCTTTAAATAAACAATAAAAAATCTTACTATACTACTACAACTTACTATAAAAATATAAACAATCATCAACTTTGAAATTTTAACTATTAACCAGTAGAAAATTATAAACATTCTAGCTTTTAACCATGAATTATATTAATTACTATTAATTTAAAATATATTCCTTTATTCATTTACACAAAATTTGTTATATATCTATTATATAATATAAAATTAAAAATATATAATTTTCTAATTAAAACTTAAGTTTAAGAAATCAATTTAAAAGAAGGTTAAAGTGACAAAAAAGTGACTTTTGAATTAAATAATGAACACTAATAGATTATTACAAATTATTGTTTTTTCTTTATGTTGAAGGAAATAAAAATGAAGAAAAATAATTGAAGCATTTTCGTTTCAAAATAAATAGACTTTCGAATCTGTTGCGATAATATAAATATAAAAAAAATAGATATTTAGAAACATATTTCGGCATCAAATCGAAGCATGAAATTAGAGCTCTTATAAGTACACACACTTTCGTAATTGAAAACCGAATGACTCAGAGATATATTTCAATGAGTATTTATTTACTTCACACTTTACTTCTTAATAGTTTTTATAATTTATTTCAAATTTGTATTTAACTTTAGTTTAATTGTTGTTGCGATTTTTATCATTTTCAAGACAAATTTATAATATAAATAATGATATTTGTATCTAATATTAATTGAAACTTATATGATTAAACATTATTTGAAATAATTATAAAATTTCTAACAAAAGTAAAGATATAATTTTATGTGTAGTTTAGAAAGTGTATGAAAAATTTACAGTATTTCCAAATTATAATTATCTTTTATTTTGGTATCTAATTATTTTTTAAATTATTACAATCAATATGATAAAATATTTCTATTTTTAACTTCCTTCAATAATTGGCTACAAAAACAATTGTTAATTCAAACGAGGATTGATAATGTTAATTACGAACCAATTATAAGTAATGAGTAAACTGATAACAGTTATTTTGCAATAATAGTTTCAATAGTAACAGCAAGAAAAATGCATTATTAGCTTGTTTAGCAATAGAAACAACAAACCATGCTTTTAATCACTTCATGTTTATTAATAGTATGCGACATAAATTTGTTCATCAAAATAAGTATACATTTTATATGACATAGAAAAATTAACAGCAATTTGTATTCCATCATTTGCTGGATAAATCGATTTCTATTAGTATTCAATTTATGCTGTAACCTTTACGTATTACTTATTTGTTAGTTTTATTACAGTTTGTTTTATTATATAAAATAGATATTAAAAGTAGAAATGTTTTTCATGTGTTGTTTATTTAGACTTTACTGTTGTTTATTTATTACTGTTTAATAATAAATTTTGTTTATCACTTTCTAAAACGATACGAAAAAAAATAAGAAAGATAAGATTATTTCCACATAATAATAACATAACAATTTCAGGTTTCTTAATTGACCAATAAAAATATAGAATTTCAAATGATAGAAGTAAATAAATGAAAGTTACTAATAATTCTAATTATATTTATATTCTACATAAAAATGTAAACGACAAGAAATAAAAATAAGAACAAGCAAATATATAAAAATCATGCAAATTTTCATTACAAAAATCGTAATAAAAATTATATTAAAAAATAAACAGAAAATATATGACAATACCATCATATTAAGAAGGATTTGTAGTATCTTAATGTAATAATAAAAAATTGAAATTTTAAATATTGGAAGCAAATATATAAAAATCATGAATATTTCATTGACAAAAATTCTAATGAAATAATTATAAAAAAAGATAAATTTACAATTAAAATTTAGAAAAATAATAATAAGTACAAATTAAGCTCAGATTAAAGAAATAATTTAAATAAAAAGTATTTAAAAACAAACGTATAAATTGTTTGATTTTTATTTTTATTAATTTAACTTTTCTTTTGTTGATTCATTTGTACAGGTTTACTAAAGTCATGGTTATTTATGAATAAATTAAGAAGTATTTAAAACATACCTAGACTATTGTTTTCCGTTTGTAATAAATTGTATTTTTGTTTGTTTATTTTTTTTTTATTAATTTAACTTTTATCTTGTTGTTTCATTAACACATGTTTGTTTGTTGTTGATTGGTTTACTGTTTTGATCACTTCCTCTTTACACTTTTAATGCGTTAAACTTCATTGGAGTGACTGAGTGGCTTCGGATCGTAGCCTCATGACCCTAACAATTGTATGATAATGCCCCACTTTGTTGGGATCGAGAAGTGGGAACGCGCACCATATAAGCAAGCAACAAACATATTCCATTCCGTATACTCTCTATAAGCCCAACACACTCACTCACGATTTAGCGAGAAGCGAAGAAAGTAAATTTACATTCATGTGAAAGCTATCAATATCGAAGTTAAACCATCAAAATTAACGATCTATTCTTTAATGCAGACGTTAATTAGGGAAAAGCCTTATTGATATTCTATTCAATAAGTCTCTAATTAAGAAAGTTTTTTTTGTTAATTAATGAATCAGCATTAAAAATAAACTAAAAATTTAACGAGTTTTTATTAACGAAAGTATACAAATGAATTATTTTATTAAAAAAATACACACTTTCTGTATTTAAGATTAAATTATTGATCGAGACGTGAAAGCAAAAGATGTAATGTTTCCTTATGAAACTTTCTTTTCGCACAACCGAAAACGTGCTAATTTATAAGAATATAGTAAGAACAAATATAGTATTTAGTTTTTAGCGTTAGTTCAGATCTTATACTAATTGTGTTTCCAAACATAATAAAAAAATTAAAACAAAACTGAAAACAACAGATTTTTTTAAATTGAAATTCTAAAAAGTTAATAGTAGATTCAATTATGTAATAATTTTATTACAATTCGGTTACTTTTCATAAATCTACGATTTTCTCTAAATTTTTAGAATTTAAGAAGTTTACAATGAGATTGATGGAAAGAGTTTATTATGTAATTTTGAAATTTTTCATATTTAGTTTGTTTTAAATTATAGGAATATGTTGATTCTTGCAACAAAAAATTCAATATTCTCATTATTAGACTATTTTATTTATGTATTCATTAGTATCTAATTAATACATGAATATTTCCATGGTTTTTCTTTTCAATGACAAAAAATTTCCATTGCATAAACGTAGGAAGTTTTCTTAATAATATTTTTATATTTTCTACTCAGTATGTGTTTATCTTTACCAAACACAAAGAAATAACTTCAATAATATTTGTACAAATATAAACTTTTTTTTTATTATATCAGTGAACTTTTAGACGTTAATCTTTCAACAAATTGTTGCAGTTATTTCTTAGAAGTTTATAACGTTCCAAACCTTAATTAAACAAGAATTTGAACTAATAAAAAAGCTTTTATTACAATTATACAAAGTGCGAAAAAAATATATATACATAAAACATCTTTTTTTTAAATATTTATTTTTATTGTCAAACGGTATAAAATCTTGACAAATATGCAAAAACAAGACAAATAAAACCGTTAATAAATCATTTAGAACGCGGATACATAAATGAAACACAAGTACTACCTATGGGTCAAAATGACCTTTTATTTTTGTATCTAATTATTTGTTTAATTATTACAATCAATATGATAAAATATTTCTATTTTTAACTTCCTTCAATAATTGGCTACAAAAACAATTGTTAATTCAAACCAGGATTGATAATGCTAATTACGAACCAATTATAAGTAACGAGTATACTGATAACAGTACTACCTATGGGTCAAAATGACCCGTCTTTTAATAGTATTGATCCGTTTATTATTACAGTATGAGTACATGAGAAACCAAAGTTATTTTACTTTGAATTACAAATATTGATGATATGTCAAGAACGTATTTACTATAGACGGGTCAATTTGACCCAAAATAGACTCTACAATAAAATAAGTACCTCTCGCCGCGACACATTACAAGAATATCTAAAATATACGTTAAAATGATACAAAGTGTAAATTTAATTTCTTTGAAATTTTATTTCTATGTTTATTTTCAAACATGATAAAATCTTATGCAAAAAAAAAACGTAATTAAATAATTTAGAACACTAGTTCTGTGTTCTAAATTATTTAATTAAACAAGTCTATATTAACATTATACTAAGTGTGAAAACATTAAGTGTAAATTAAATCCAATTTTTTTGAAATTTTATTCCTCTGTTTATTGCCAAACTCTTAAGTAAAAAAAATCACATAATGTATGTTTTTTCCTTTATTGACGCAAATGGTGCGAGTTGCAGCTATTTATAATTGCTTGGATGCTTCTTCACGTTGGATAAGCACGATCGTCGCACTTGAACTACAAATTTTACATGGTAATAGAGTTGCGAACTTGAAAAACAACCAGTTTCAAATGGTATCGTATTCCATCATTTTATAAATTTACACGTGCGTCGGTTATCTGTATGTGGCAACAAGATTACGCGAAGGAATTTTTCGAACCGTTTTGCGCACATGGATTGGAAAAGAAATGAAGTTATTATGACCTTAAAAGTATACAAAGAGAAATAATAATTGTTGTTTTCAATTTTAACGATTTTCGCATACATTATTTATCGAAAAGTCTTGTTTTGTTTGTTTTAAATTGTAATTTCGTCTTTTTAGTGTAGACACATGAAAATATATTGAAATTTATCCATTTGATTAATATATGTATATTAATTCTTCTAAATTATATACAAGACAGACCATTTATTAAAATTGTTAAAAAAGATTACAAAAGATTAAATAACTGAAATTGGTTAAAATAATAACTAAAATTAATATATTACAATGAGACAACAGTTACAAGTATCACCAAACATGTAAACATATAAAGAATATATTTAAATTAATAATTTATTTATCGAGAAAATTGATTTAATAGATTCTTATAATTAAAGTTTTATTGAAAAAGGAAATTAAAGCTGTTGTTGATTGAATTTATCGAAAAACAACAGTTCTTTTTCTTAGACTCATTTAATTTGTTTAGAATCTCTTGTAGTACATTGATTCATGTTGTTTAACTATAAAATGAATCTATTGATGACTTGAATCTTCCTTCTTTGTTTTTATTTTCTTCATTTCTTTATATTATTGCAATTATACCTGAATCAAGTGCAATATGGAGAAATGTGAGGTGAATTAATTGTGAAAATTAGTATTTAAGGTGAATTATATCAAAAAAATGCAAGCACATTATATATATGAATTTATAAAGAAATTTATATAGTGTGGCTTCTGATTAATGGATGGCGCTTGTGGTATATTGACGCATTAACTGATACAATTTAAAAATTTGAATTTAGTTTCAAACAAAGTATATTTTTTGATAGAATAATAAGGAATTTATTAGTACATTTTCAAATCAGACAAATTTATAAATATTTATTATTACAAATATTAGCTAAAGTAGGAGTAGAAATATTTCGTAAAATATTTATACTTTAAATTATAGATTATTTCAATTTTGTATTATTGTCTATATAGATTGGCCTTTTCTTATTTATTTATTTATTTATTGTTCAATTTTATTCTTATTTACTTTACTTATTGGTTTCAAAAATTTGATTTCAAATTTTCTCATAGAAATATTTGTATAAAGTAAAGATTGTACTTTTCCTTTAAAAAAAACTTGATTATTTTCAATTTTTGTTAGTAACTAATTCGTTTTATAATTTGATTTTAAATTATTTAAAAAAATGGTTTCATAAAGTGAAAAATTATATATTATTGATAATCTAGTATTAATATTTTATAATTTAATGCTGGTCAGTACAATCAGTGATCTAACAAAATGCGGCCCAAAAAAAAACGTAAATTTACACTTGCGACTAAAAATATTAATTTATGTGTGACCCAAAACAACTCGTTTTCTTCTAATGTGGCCCAAAGAAGATAACAGTTTGGAGTTTAATTTATTTGTTATATAAAGAGTGTCCCAAAATTAACGCAAGATTTGAATTAAATAGCTTATGATTCAATAAAAAAAAATCACAATCTGAAGACTAAAAACTGTGTTTTCTATTTAATTCAAATCTTGCGTAAATTTTGGGACACCCTTTATATTTGATTTTAATTTGTGTTAAAAATATAGATTCTACTAGCCTTTTTATTGTTGTAAATTTTGTCTACTATTAATAATCTATAATAAAATCTTTCAGTTGGTCGTTTTATATATACTGTTCGTTTTTATCTGCAGGAAATCGTTTAATAAAAATGAAGATTCTACTAGCCTTTCAATCTCGCCGAGAAAAAAAATTGTATTAGGTAAGAAGCTCTGCATTCGAGCGAACCGTATAGAGAGGAGAGACGACTGAGATTTTCCGCTATAGAAGCTGGAGGCGGCGTTCGAATCCCAAAATAATTATGTGCGGTGGGAAAAGAAGTTTAAATTTAAAACGGCGTGAACAGGTGGGAGAGTTATAGATTTTCAGATGCATCCAACCGCAGATAGGCGTGGGGGACGAAGGGGGCAACGATGAAGGTAGGTAAGGTGAAGAAGAAGAAAGGGGGGCGGTTGCTGTCCCGCATTTTATCTCAATTTCCAGGTCAGCGGTACGACAATGATGCACTGGCTTTTCTGCGAAACTGGGGGGGTCAAAGGGGATGCGCACCCTCTCAACTCCCCCTTTAACCCCCCAAAAACGGCACGGCCTAGATGTCTAGATGTACGGTTTGTGCAGAGCAAAACAAGGGTAAGTATATGTGTGTGTGTGTGTTTATATGAGAAGGAGAGAGAAAGATAGTGTAGGGTGTGCACGAAACCGCAGGGGATGCGGCGTCGGGGCGAAGAGGATTCGCTAATTGTTACATGGATTTATGCGGCGCAACCGGATTTAAAATATTAACCTCTGCACACTCGCATACACATATATCTATCTATATACATATATATATAGAGAGAGAGAGAGAAGTCCACCGACACAACCGGAAAGCGTCGGGGAAGAGAAATTGCGATTTTAAATTAAGCTACGCAAATGATAATTGGGATAAATTGAAATAGTTTCCGGGTCAGGGAAAGGACTTTTCCTCCCTGCCCCTTAAAGAAGGATTAAACTGAAACGGAAAAAAATGTGTTGATCGTGCAAATTATCTCTGGGAGCTGATGTGTCCTCTCTTTCTCCACCCTTTGTTCCCTGCAGTTACCAAATGACCTTTTCTAATTACTGTGAGACTTCTCGG